CAGCTATTGGGATGCGTGCGTTTTCCGTTTTCCATCCAGTCACTATTGTGCCGGCCGTAGGCTATGCTATCGTCGCCTTTATTTGCAATCAAAGAATCTGTGGGATTGCTGATGTGAGTGGCCGGCTTAGTTGTTCTACTGTTATCTTCAAATTTATTTTTTTTTGAGATGATGGTAATGTTATGCTGGAAGCTTTTCCAGAGAACATTTTCAGTTCTGTGGTCGTCTTCGTATTTGTCATAGATTCATGAGATCGCTGCGTTGACGATTACTCGTCAATTTTGATTGCCCAGTTTCGCAATCAGCATTTTGCCTATGGCATAGAATACGAAAGATCACAGAACAACCATTCATTCTCGTTTGCTACGGCTGCAATTATCGGGTCTTGGAAAAAATGTGCAGTCCAAGTTTTTCTACAAGTTGCACCTTTTTTTGATGACAGAAGTTTCGAACTGCACAGGTTTTGGCAAGGTTGGGCCTTCGTTGGAGTTGTGATCAATGGGGAAGAAAGACTCGCCCATTTGACGACTGGTATATCTGTATGATTTGGTTGGCTGTAGGAGCTTATCGAGGGTATCAATTTGTACGCCAGAAGTCCTACGACAAATGTGATGAAGTGTAAGAAAGATATACAGACTATCACAGTCCTTTACCCTCCTGCAGGTTCCTTTTGCAGAGTCGACTCTATGCCACCTGTATCTAATGGATTTTGTATCGAACAGTCACTTGCTGTGTTTCATATTTCGCTCAGTAAAGCGGTAAAGGAGCTGTGAACATTCTAGAACATTTGTAGGGTTTTATCAATTTTTTTTCGTTAGGAACCAATATTAGACATCGATGACGATCACGGGGATCCTGACGATGAACTGAGAGTCAGGAATGATGAGGTAGGTGATTTTTGGAGGGCGATCTTCACGTCTAAAAATGAAGTTCCCTATTTGCCGCAGGTTGATCGTATTTTGACGCTGTACATGTGTGCAACCATGTGGCATGAAACGGCAACAGAAATGGCACAGATGTTGCGCAGTATACTAAAGTAACTCGTTTTCTGATCATTTATGATTAGGTTCCTGTTTAGGATCTGGATTTGTAACCTATTATGGGTTTTTTAAGCTCTGGTGTAATTTTAGGTTAGATGAGGAACATGCACGAAGGCTGGGAGCTAAAAAGACGGATCAGTTACGCTTCAGACTTGAAGGTGGTTTTCTTTTCCTTCAGAAAATCTGCTGATGGGAGCACCTCCGCAGTTCATCAGTGTTGTTCCCCATGAAGGAAGGGCAAGCTCTTTATCATTCTTAACACATTCGCTATGGCACCTTTTTTTCGTTTTTCGATGAGAGGTTTTGCGCTCGCTTTACCACACGTCCGTGGGTTCCGTGCAGTGAACGAAGAAAGCATAAATAACACAAAATAATGTAACCCATAAGACGTCAACTATTCTTGTATGAAAAATTGTGCAAAAATTACGACAAACAATTGGTAGGCGAATATCAGCTGGCTATGCATGTGGGCTACCACCGACATAAATGTGTTATTTCGTTTATTGCAGGTCACATATTCTTTGATGATGCGTGGGAAGACCGGACGGAGTCAAATATCACTAAACGAGTTCCGAATGATTTCTTCCGTACATTCTTCGAGACTCTTAGTGAACTGACTGGGTAAGGGAACATAACCATTTTGAAGGCACACATGTTCCATGTGTGTCTAACACTTTCCTGATTATTTTACTTCCTCTATTTTTCAACTTCTAAACTTTCAGGAAATCCTACTGCATAATTTCTCAACCTGAAATCTTCCCATATGACATAGAGTTCTCGATTACTGCCGTACTTTTAGTGATTTTTCTACATTTTAGAGAATTCGTTGACGAGTCTGGCTCGATAATGTCAAGAATTTTGGTAAATACTCCATATGGTGGAAGATTAGTGGTGAGGCTACCTGCTGGTACGCTGTTATTTGTACACCTCAAGGATAAGAAGCTCATCAGGCATAAGAAGAGATGGAGTCAGGTTTGACTTCCTTTGTAGGCGTTTTTATTATTGAAGAAGAAACCAGTTGTGTAGTTCAGAAATAAAGAAGGTAAACGAAAAATAACAATTTGAGGTCATGTACATGTACTATCTGCTTGGCCATCGCATTATGGATTCACCGCTGAGCATTGAAGATCGTCAACAAATGGCCGACAACACTTTCATTCTTGCTATTGATGGCGACTCCAAGTTTGAACCAGAGGCAAGTGTTGAGCTCTTCAACATTTTTCTTAGGATTAAGCAAAAATCAAATCCTTCGTGAAACTATGAAGTCTAATTGTGGAACATTAAGGCAGTAATGCGGTTACTGAATCTCATGAACACTAAGAGTGATATCGGGTGTGCCTGTGGTCGTATTCACCCTATTGGTTCAGGTATGGCTTCACAGCTCTGACCATTTTATGTTTAACTTTACTACCTTTTTTTAAAAATTGAATTACTTCTTCGTTGTGGCTTAATTTTTTTTTTGTAAAAGTTTGCAAGGCTGTCTACAAGAATACCTCGGGTAGTGACGGTATAAGTTTTTGATACGTCTACTTCGTCGTTCTGGTTGAAATTCGTTCACAAATAGTGTACTTCTTAATTCTGCTGATTTCTGAATAATTTTTGCAGAGGTGAACAACTCATCTTGCTGTGATCTATAGCCCAGCAGCACTGGGTGACTATTCTGTTAAGTGGTAAAATAGCAATGTGGTTGAGGGTCAGCGGCACACATGGCCATGGTCAAATCCCATGACGAATCTGGCCATTACTGCTCTAAGTTCTTCGTGATCAACCAAATGATTCTAATGTCTCGGGAACGAAACACAGACCATCATGCAGCTAACCTCCAAAGCTACTGCATATGCAGACAACGAATGCTTGGCACATCCCAAACAGGCATTAGTCAAGAATGAGCGCATTAGTTTTATTTTATTTTTTGTGTAGGACCAAGAGTTGTGAGCTCCGAATTGCAGTGCCACTTTTGCAGGTGTTATGGTGTGGTATCAGAAATTCGAGTACGCTATCGCACACTGGTTCCAAAAAGCAGCAGAGCACGTGTTTGGATGCGTGCTGTGTGCTCCTGGGTGCTTCTCTCTGTTCCGTGCTTCAGCGTTGATGGATGACAATATCATGCACAAGTTAGTGAAGTTTTTATGTTCTTGAAAGTCTGTTCCGGCCTGACCACAAACTGCTAGATATAGCCGACGACTAT